AGACAGACAGACAGACAGACAGACAGATAGACAGACAGACAGACAGATAGATAGATATGCTTGGGAATTGAATTAAGCTGCTCAGGCTATATATTTCTGATTCACTAACAAGAACTTACTCGTAAGACTCATTTGTTCAGAATCGTGAATCAGACTGCAATGGCTGTGCTGTATGTTTTGTGTCGTATATTCATTAGCGGTGTTATGATGCTGTTGAATAGTAGCAAAGTAAAATGATGTTCTGTTCCATGGTATGAATTAAAATGAAAATGGTCTGAATAAAAAGTGGTTCTCGGATCCCTGTCGTAATTAGAACAGTGTTTCTCAAATTTGCTCCTGGGATCCACTAGCACCGCACATGTGAAATCTTTTAGCAAAAACACCTGCTTCAAGTAACTGGCTTATTAGTAGCGGCTTCGTGACCTGAATTGGATGTGTCAGATTAGTGAGACACTTCCATTGGGCGAGTGTGGAGGGAACTCAGGCAGCAGAGTTCAGAAACACTGCCTTACTGAAACCTGGGCTCAAGGGCACAGTGGTGACACTGGTATTGGCAGGATGGGGATTTCAAAAAGTCTTCAGCTTAAAATGGCAACTGTATGTTACCAAGCAAGGGCCAAGTGTGTTTATACATTTAAATAAAATCAAAATAGCTGAAACTGATCTCCCAATGTCCAACTTCAAGACATTACCAGAGGCAGATCCATGAGGACCTGCATGCCGTCGCCTGGCCCCATGTGAGCAACGTGGTTGAAGTTGGTGGGGTTGGAGATCAGCTTGGATCTCATTTCAGGATCCCTCAGCATCTCCCTATTGAACAAAACGGAAACAACGTCACATGGATTAGGAGCAGCGCAGGAGTGCGGCAGTGTGAGAGATTTACTCCTGAAGCCACCTGACCTTCTCTGCTGCAGCCGCTCCTCCTCTGGTACTTTAAAAAGGAACTTCCTCTTGCTGCGTGTCCTCACCATCAGCTTCTTGCTGTTGTCTGAGGTCTCAGGGATGGCCAGATCACAGCCACCTGTGGAAACAAGAGTGTGAATGAGGTTGAGAAAGATGGTTGCGGCTCAAACTATGGCAGTCCTGGGTTTTTGCGCTCAGAGCGGCTGTGTCTGAACATACTGTGGAACTTGTTGGCAGCACGCCTAGAGGAGGTGTGACAAATGAGGTCATTCTAGTTTACCAAACAAAAGCATCTTTATCAAGAGGGCAATCTGCCAAAGTGGGCAGGAAGTGAATTGTAAATGGACCACAAAGGGTGGAGCCGTACATTTCATTACCTGGGCTGATCTTATGAAGAGACCTAGTGGTGTTTTGTTTGTGAACGAGTCAGTGCTTTTGAGCAAATCTTGTAAATGAGCAAATCATTCTCGTTCACTTCTATGTACTGATTCATTCAGCGTCTTTGAACAAATCTTGTAAGTGAACAATTAGTCATTAATTTCTATCTTGTAAGTGAACAATTAGTCATTAATTTCTATCTACTGACTCATATTTAGTATTTTTAAACAATTCTTATAAATGAACAAACCATTCTCTCACTGAATTATTTAGTGTTTTTGAACAAATTCCATAAGTGAACAAATAGTTCTTGTTTACTTCTATGCAGTGACTCATATACAACGTTTTTAAACAAATCTTGTAAATGAACAAATTATTATTCACCACTATGCACGGACTCATTCAGTGTTTTTGAAACAATATTGAAAGTAATATTCTTTTTCACTGAAGGCAGGAAAACAATCATGTGCTTCACAGAGGAGAGATATCAAAATATGACTTTAGAAAGAGCAAAGAGCATTCAAGAGAGTGCTGTCAAGAAGCATTTAAGTGACTGAACGTACTGAACAAATACGACCACTTGCTCAGCTTCGAGTCTCAATAAGAACAGCACTGAACAATGACACTTAACAACTCTTTCTAAAGCGTTTTTCAGTCACAAACACAGTTAGTGTTTTTAACAAATTGGTTGAGTGAATAATTCAGTGACTCATATTACTAATTTAATGTATAGCTTTACCTCATGTCTTCTTTTGTATAATCCTTAGAAGCCAAAATCGAAATAAAAAAATAAAATTAGCTTAATACAGGCCTAAATTGTAAGCAGATGTTTGAATGTTTAGTTCTCTCTTAAGTGTGTTTTATTAATTTCTCCAGTACCGATAACAGAACCGTTAACGTCAGAGCTTATCGATACTCTGGTCTTTCATAATTTAGCCCCGGGACCGATTAAATACCGGGTTTCGGTACCCATCCCTAGTCATAACATTCAAAGTTAACTGTCATCATCTACTGGCATGATGCAATGGCCAGTAAGGGCCACTGAATGAATCAATGAACAAATCATTCTAGTGAACCGATTAAAAAAAAATCATGTCACTGAGATTAATCAAAATCTCCACTATTACTGAGCTCCAAGCATGTGTGGGCTTGCTAGTATATATATACATGCATGCGTCAGTGTCTGTGTAGGCGGGAGTGATTGACATCACTTTGTGGAGGACACATTTCTTCTCAGGTGGACTATTGTAATCAGAGACTCTGGCTACATTGACTGAAGCAATAAACTCACCCTCAGCAGTGAAGCAGATGCAAGGTTCAGTGTGTGGGAGATGTGTGTTGACATGGTGAAGTGTGTGTGAGGTGGGATCAGACCTGAGGAGTTGTTGCTGAAGTAGATGAGGTGGGGCTGCTCAGAGCCAAACAGGTTCAGACTGCCCTCCACATTCAGGGGCCGAATCTACAGACACAGTTTAAAGTTAGATCAGCTTTTAAATCATAAATACAAACAGATCAAATTGAAACAGCATTCAGAAACTGTAAAATTAGGATCCTTCACTCACTCCTCTTAATGAGATGGTCTGGACCCATTCTGTGGTGTGGACATCAAACACGTCTACTCCATAATCACTGTACACTGTCAGGTAGTTCGAGTTTGAACCTGAAAATAATGAATATGGGTCTGAGATCTCATGCTCATGATCAGAACAGAAGGATGCACTGGGCAAATCATTCAAGATGCTGTTCTCAAAGGACTGCCTGACGTGCTTTGAAACTGGGTCAGAGGCTGGATTGTTCACTACTGTTTCTGTCTGAAACATCTGGGGCCCGATTCCCGAAATAGTGCTAAGAATAAAATTGTTCTTAAGTACCATTTTCTTATCGTCTAACTTAAGTAAAAAAAAAAGTGAAATAATATTAAGTATTGTTGAAAAGATTTAAGAATAACTATTATTTTTAATTAACACCATTCCTAGAAAATATTTAAGAACTCAAATTCATGAGAAAAAAGATATTCAAAACCAAAAAAAGTTAAAAATAACCTCTTAAAGTTAGGATAGCCTCACACTTGTCCTAAATTTCAAGATGTTTAATGGCTTGATTGGACTGGTTTATATATTAAGAATTACATCATTACATAATAGCTACATTCTACAATACTGTCCTTATCTGCTCCCTTGACCTTTCTGCATACGTTTGTTTACTGCCGCCCATTTTTTCCACTGGCCACCACTTTCCCATGGCTGCCTCTTACTTTCCGGTTTGATATCGAGCCGCTTAAAAAGAACTTTCTTCCTTGCACTAATTACCTTAATGAGAACAACCAGCGTTTGCCTACAAGTTTTGATTTCTTTTCTTTTCCTCCATGTCAAATTACAAGGGAAATGGTTACCATCAAATAAATTCACTTATTAAGACTAAACTCACATTACATCTCCTCCATTTTTACATTTAGATAACCTTTCTCATCATCTATCACTCACTTAAAGTCAACCTTTAAAATAAATGGAATAACACTATTTTTCATACTGTACATTATAACATTGTGATGCCTAAATTCACTTGTATCATTTAAAATCATTAATTTTGTTATTTGTTTTTTAATTTATTTAAATAATACAGTATCATTTATTGGTCATAACATGAAACTAATTATTGGCTTATTGGTATCGACCAGAATCACTGGATTACTACCCGTCAACTTAATATTTCATTTCAAGAACTACACTTATTATTATTGTTATATATTATTATCAAAAAATTATTTAAATTTATCCTAAGATTTTTTTTTTTACACATCTCTTTTAAACATCTAGTTCTCATCTTTGTCATCTCTACTTCCTCCCTGCTTTGCTATTTCTCCTTTATTCTTTCCTACTCCTCCCTTCCTCCAAGTCTACACATGAAAAACATCGGTATTTCAGGAGGGTTGATAACATGAATACAAACCGTTGCTTAGATACTTTCACCAATTATGTTTTACTTCCCACACAAGCTCTTCGGAGACACTTACTGCAGGCAAGCGGTGTGGCAGGCCACATCAGCTCCTGCGTTCGAGAGCGTCGTCCAGTCGCGTCCACGTACACTCCCAGCTGACTGAAGCACAGCAGCAGTTCATTGCCCCCCACCTCCATAGCGTGCAGCGCGTCCAGGGGCTGCTGGGCCAAAAAGGCTAGTGAGGGGTCTGCCGGGCTCACCAGACTCACCGGTGACGACTCTCCCTGCATGGCCAGCAGAGCGAAGCCTGACGGGTAACCCACGCACAGCCGATCACGAATAATACCCAGCCACTGGGCAATACCAGGTGCCTGCACCTCCCACAGCTTACGGTGATGGGGCTTTACGCGAGTGATTTCGTAGCAGATGACCTGGCGCTTCACACCTGCTAGGAGACACGCTGGGCCACCAGGGCGTAGGGTACCTATGGTCATAGCCTGGCAGCCTTTTGTCTCCGTCAACTTGGCCTCGCAATTAACATCCGCACCCTCCAGTGCCGCCCAGGGGTATAAATGGACATGGCGGTTACGGCCTGAAAGCAGAGCCACCATCTTCTCTTTGGGCATGAGCTCAATCTGGCAGATTCTTTTACAGTCAGCAGCACGAACAATGACTGAAAAAAGGTTCATGGGAAATTAATTACAGTGAAAATAATGGCAAAGAACTAAACCTGTGCTATACAGAGTACTCATACCATCTCTGGTGATCTCGACTACAAACAGGCCATCTTCTGTCCCCAACGCAATTCGTTCTCGATCTGTAGAGACAAAAGCAGGACAAATACGATTTGTGAATGGAATATTTGTGAATACAACGTGTCACTCTGTTCACCTGAAAATTGTGTTGTTCTAAACTCATAAGACTTTTGTTCATATTCAAAACCAAATTTTTAATGGAAACTGAGTGATTTCTGTCCCTCCATTGTAGGTACTTTCCTTCAAAACTTTGTTCATAAAGCTACTCCCAAGTAAAATGGGCAAGTCAAAGTCAAATATGGGTAATGACGGACAAGAAAAGCAGCATTTTTGTGAGGTACATAAATTAATGTAAACAGCATCAAGAAATGCTTGTTGTTCTCCTGAAAATGGGGGAATGTGGATTGATTCGTTTCGACTAATTACATTGATAGTACTCACCTACGATAGCAGCAGAGAGTGTCGTTTTGATGGCAGGCAGGCTGCTGTCATAGGCCTCGTGCAGGACATGCACCACACGGTTCTTCAAGCGGTTCTTGGCCAGGATGTTCTGCAGGCCCTCTAGGATGCCCACCCACTTCCTCTTCTCCACCTCACTCTCAGCTAACACCAGCAGAGGCACCGGCCGGACTGGAGAGTTCGAAGCGGATGACGTTACCTGTGCAGTTCAGGGCAAATATTGTTAATTATCAGGATGCACGATTAGGCAAATGTAGCAATGAATCATTTAAGGAACAGGACACGTTTTGGAGCGTACCCTAAATATGCAGGGAATGTCTTTACGACTGGCATGGATCACGTATATATATATGATTTGAGAATGTGACTAATCCTGACCTCAAGTCAAGGACCTGACTGGCCATCATACCAGGCTGAGTGGACTTCCCTTCTGGCACCTCATAGAGGAAGAGCTTACAGTCACACACTACAGCATATGTCCTCTGCCAGCCCTTCTTCACTCCTGTGGGCTTCGGGATCTGAAACAGGAGCAAACCCATACTGCAATTTAATGTATATTTAGTACAACATTCAGTAGGAAATACAATCAAATTCAATGCAAGGATTCAGGTGAGATAAATAAAATAATTGTCAAGAACAGAAACTTGACTACATTATCATTCTCACCCTGACAAAACCTTTGTAAGCTGTGCCAATGCCCCTCTGCACATCAATACCCAGAGGCCTCTTGGCCTGCTCTAGAGGAATGGGGCAAACCTGGGGCGCGTTGTCTTTACAGGACACGTGACAGATGAAAGAGCATACTAAAAGATATTCAGTGAGGGAGAGAGAATTACCAAACATTCAAAAATGTGACAAGTGAAACTGGCATTTAAATATTTCATCTTAGATCAAAAGCTCCTTATCATTTCCCCAAACCACCATTTTGGAGACGCCATATCTGATCTTATTTATCATTAATACTCAGCTCACCCTCACAGGCATAACCCTGCCGGATCTGGCCCACCATCAGGGAGGTACAGTGAGTGCACTGGGTTGGGCTGGAGAAAGTCTTAATGCTTAGCTGATGAGCTTTAGGCTGTTGACATAAACAAAATATTAACAGACAGAGGAATGGATGCATGCTGATGTGGACAGACTCAGGGTGTACTCAAACTAGGCACGGTTGCCTTGAACCACTCCCCTGCTGGCCTGCACTCACACTTGCACTAAACATTCCGGGCCGGAGCACACTTACGCCATGTATGAAATAACGGAGAAAACCACTTTTGCTAATATTCTGCCAAATAATTAATAATAATTAATTTATAATTTATGCCGTGCATTGATTTTCACTTGTATGTATCAGAAAATTATTAGGGAGGCAGCTGACGTTAATGAAATAATTTGCAGCTTTACTCGCAAATTACATTTCCTGTTCATCAATAAGGTAAGAACCAGAGGCATTATAAACCTAAATATACTTGATTGAATTAAATTAATTGAAAAGTGTAGTGTAGTAGTAGTAATAGAATATGTTTGCGGTCGTAATGACTACAGTAGCGCACACAAAATAGTATCTGTTCCATGCTCACACTGCATGCGTACCGCGCCCGAGCCCAACCGAACCGTGCCCTGGCCCACCTCTTCCAACTGGGCCAGGGCCGACTAAACGGAGCGCTCACACTAATCAAACCAACCGGGCTTTGGGGGTCAAACGCGTTCAGGCACGGTTCAAAACGCCTAGTGTGAGTACACCCTTAAAGAACCTAAAGGAAACAGGCTAATGATGAATCAGACACATCATATGGTCGTTTTACCTTTGGCACGCTGAGTGTGGGCTGATAGATTGGAGAAGGGGCAACAGGAGTGGTCGCTTGAAACTTGACTGGTTCCTAAAGGATTAAAACAACAATTCCATGAATAAAAATTCCATACATTTCTAGCAAATAAAACAAACATATATAAAATGTGTAATACCAAAACGTGTATATTTCAGTGCTTATTTTTCTGTCAAAAAACCTTTCAACATTTTTTAATCTGTGTCCTATCCATTACTATTCAGGAAATGACTAAATCAATGATCAATGTATCAGATAGGAAGTCTGACAGCAGCAGAATGTAATAGGAAGTGTTAGGTGGACACTCACATCCTGTTCTGAAGCCATTGATGGGGAGGAAGTGGGGATGTCCGTCTTCTGGGGTGTGGCGTCCACATCACCAACGGAGCTTGTCTGAGGGAAAGACCACAGTTGGGATACAGCTCAAAATGTGTATGCATCATCACGCAAACATTGTCACAATGTGACTGAGATGATATTTGTGAAAATTATTACGTCATAACTAATAAGCATTCAGAAGTCATGTGCTTACTCATGAAAGCCATGAGCACTAATATAATGATATATTACAAATAACAAAGCTGAATTTTGTTCTCAAGAAACATTTCTTATTATCAATGTTGAAAACAGTGGTGCTTAAAATTATTGTGAAAATGAACCGTGGCATTGGTATATCGGTACATATTTTCACATAGCTATGAGAAGCATTAAACATGGACGCGCGTGCGGTTGCTGTACTGTATTAAAGCTTTAATCAGGATAAAACTGTATATTAAAAGCTACCATAAGCAGTAGCAGTAGTATCTAAAAGTATGAGACAACAACAAACAAAAAACATAGGCCTACCATTAAAAGCTGTGCTTGCACAGGTTCTGCGTGATCCTCTTCAATAATATCCTCTGCTTCTCAATCGGGCTCAAACTGATAAGCGATATTAACGACGCCGTTGTTTACAATACAACCGGAGCACATGCCGCTGAGGTGAGGGGCGGGACGATTAGACGCGCACTAGAAGCGGTTTAGCCAATCACAACACACTGGGCTAGCTAACCAATCAGAACCCATCGCTTATTTCTGAGGGCGGGGCTTCATAAAAACAGGAGAAGATCAGCCCGTTTCTCAGAGAAGGGACAGAGCGGTGTGGAATAATGGTAAATTATGTGAAAAATAATGAGTTTTTTTTTTTTTTTTAACGAAGCATTAACACATGTTAGACTGCACCCCATAAACACAATCAAGCCTAGAAAAAATACAGTGAACCACCCCTTTAAGTCTCTCATCCCAAATATAAGCAAACAGCACATTTCGGCTTAGCAAACACTAATGTATCCTATGCCATCTATAATTCAACTTAAGATGCATTTGTAAACTCTAATGCACCATCCTTGGCTAACATTATCTGCAATTAAGCCCCAAAATTATGCACAAATAATACTTACCAAGCACAATACAATACAATACAATACAAAACATACTGATTCGGTCTAACTGTATATCTATGCAACGTGAATGCATAATGGTATCAATTAAGGGTGATTCTGAAATTTAAGATGCACAAAGACTGGCAGGAAATTAAAATAATTACAAAATTAATTGACATCACTTTTTCCTCAGAGAATTACTTTCATGTTCAATTAGCTTACAAGCGCATACCATCATCACCTATATTGGTAGGTTATAAATATTTGTGAAATATCCCCCACAATTTAATCATCTTTCATTCATTTTATTTCATTCGATTCATTTTATGGCTGGTTGCCTTAGTCATTCAATCTAAATTATGGATGTTAATTGTCCTAGTGGGCTCTAAGAGTTAACTAATGGCTTAGTGCATTTGCAGACGTGACTAATGGAGAGTAACATTATTCACATTAGCCGTTTAAGAGGTTAGAAGGCAGTGGGAAGGTGGTTAATACTAACTGCTGGATGCTAATCGAGAGTCTCTTACATTTAGCACCTACAATTAGACTGAATTGGTTCTAGGATCTGGTTGCAATATGGCAGAGGAACACGGTCAGCAGACAAAACAGATGTAACAAACTGAAGGGCATGCTGGTTAGGCTGAATGCAAGTTGTATGGTCAACTTCTGGCCTTAAATGGTGAGTCAGGCATGATTAACATATAGTAGGTATCATGAGTGCTGTTTTATTTAGACAAAGCATAAGATGAACTACAATATGACTTGCAAGCTTTTGAGACACTTTGTCTGCTGACAGATCACTCCTGCCGAGGTTAAATTTCACAGAGGGAGGAACCTTGTTCAGCAAACTTACTTCATCCCAAAATGCAAGCAGAGAAGATGCGGATGAGGAGAAGACAGAGTCCTTTTTTTTGAGGGGGACAAAAATAAGATGACAGGTAACACAGCTTGTCTTTATGAACTTACTTTCACTTTAGGTCTTTCCCTATAATCCCATGAGTTTCAAAAATACAGCCTGGTTACATCTGTCAACCTAATCACTTACTTCAAGCAGTTTCATTAAACTGAAAGATGGGCATCAGACTTGCAAAATTGTCCAGTTGACTTGGTCTCTGAATAGGCAATCAAAGCATGATGGACCATTTGGCCATGAACTGAACTGACTCAGTGACTATAGTAAATCCATCGCTCAAGTCTTTGTCATCAGCTACTGTTCCAATGTAAACTGTGACTGAAAGCTACATGAAAACTGTTGGGAGTCGGTGATTTCAGGATGAGGCAGGGCAGGAAGCCTCATATCACACATCTACAACAGCAGGCTAAGGTCAACAAGGGACTCGCTCTTGAGCTCAAAAGCAGCAGGAACTGACTGCTTGATATGTGTTTTTGAACTTGATATAGCATCTGAAATCAAACCTGGAAACTCCAGACAGGTAAAAAAGGTGCCGGGGAGGGGGATAATTAAAGAATCTAATTAGAATAGAACTACACGCTTAGGTAGCAACATGGTTTTGACAGAACTCCAATGTCCAGTGTAATATCCTACACTAAAAAATGACATCAAAAACAACAATTTAAACAACTTTACATTTCAAATAAAGGCTTTAAATCATTAAAAAAGTAAAAAATAAAATAAAACTATTATCTGTACACAAATCAGGGCTGTGCTTATAAACAAGAGGCGAGCTGAGTAGATCAGGGACATCAGAACCAGTATCCACTGTCTGCTAGACATTCGTAAACGTGTGTATACTCCAATGTTTCAATCTGGTTACTACTGACGTCACCTCTTCGTATAGATAAACAATCTTTTAGGTCTCTGGTTTTCTGAGGCCGGAGGACATTAGGATGATGAAATGAATGGAGAGAGGCTTGTTAATGTATGTAACGCAGTAGCACAAGGGTGCCCAACCCTGCTCCTGGCGATCGACTGTCCTGCAAAGTTTAGCTCCAACTCTAATCAAAGACACCTGCCTTTAATTTTTAAGTGATCCTAAAGACCCTAATTAGTTGCTTCAGGTGTGTTTGATTAGGGTTGGAGCTAAACTTTGCAGGACAGTCGATCGCCAGGAGCAGGGTTGGGCACC